TGCTAAATTCGACCTCAATTCCTAGTGTAGACCAGGGCTTAGTACAACAGGGCAAGTTAATCAGGAGCACGATTATACTTTAAAAAAATATCAATTAAAAACATGTTTGTATTTTATCCAATATATAGGCATGAGCTGAGTAATTTCATTTACTTTTTTCAAATAAAATAGTCTCTCAGTCATTGAACACTTCACATTCACCTAGTAAGTCCAAAGAGACTCAGTTACTTCATTATCAATCTTGAGTAATTTTTGATTCAGTAACAAATTTCTTCTGACAAGCAGAGACATTTATTATTAGTGATGTTTTTGGATAACTGTTCATTTTGTCCAAGAATTTAAAATGCAATAGAAAGTTTGTTTTTTGTACTTGAACATTCATTAGATTACACTCAGATCTCAAAAGTATGCTTTATTCCTTTAGTGAAATTACTTTGGTGCATTTATATTTTATCAACACACAAAAACTTGAGTTATGTTAAGGATATGGCACAAATAAACAAAAACCCCCAAGAAATTCTGGTTTTGGGGATTCTGCCTAGATATTAGGCTTAGAAACGGTTGAACTTCAACAGTGGTCTTATCTAAAAAAGGAGTATCTACAAGGGCATGTCAATATACTTTTCCAAGATGATCATTCCTCTTGCTTGAAACCTTAAAAATGGGATGTGATTTGATGTTCAGCACATCAGTGCATGTTCCTTCTGATAGAGATAGCAGGCAGCCACTGATGCTGAACTGATGTCTGCCTGCCATTTCTATCAGTGAGCACTATATATTTGCACATTTGTTTGTTCTGCAGGGCCTGAGGGGGAGGAGGATCAGTACCAGTTTAAAAATAAAATACCTTTAAGGATTTCTGTAGATAAAAATCTTCCTGTTAGAGCTTCTCTCCAGGTATATCAGTTTTTAGGCTAGTAACCTTGCCAGTGTCCTTTTAAGACTGATACTCCATTATTTACTTGCCTTCTCGTGTGTAGCTCTTGCAGCACAAAGGGTATCTCATTCTGTGTACTGATTCACAGCCCCCTATGGATCTAGGTTCTGATAAGGCACTCATCCCTGTAGCATGAATGTCTCCCAAGTATTTAAAAAGAAATAATATTCCTGGTTCAGCCCAGCATGCAGGAGCTTTCTTCCCAATAGGCAGCGTGTGTGTGCGCGCACGTATGTGTGAGAGGGAGAGCACAAGCTTCGTGAGAGAAAGCTAAGACAAAAAGGGAGCTTTGCATTTAGTTCTGAACACAGTGAGGTCAGTAGGCATTCAAAGCGCGGTGTTGTTTTCTACTGCAGGCACTGAAGTTCATGATCACCCAAAGGAGCTTACAAATATGTTGAATAACATGATGGATAGGACGAAGTGTAAAGGTCTCCAGAGGCAAGACCTATCCAGATGAAACTGCACCACAGCCCCTCTGAAAGGAAAGATCATAACAGAAATGCTACTCTACCCACTCCTGTTAGATGGTCTATAGATAAGAAGAGTGTCAATATTGGGCTCATCCCTGGATTCACACACTTGATGGATGCACACAAGTGGGGTGGGGTGTTTGGGGTGGCTTTTGTTTTTGCAGTTGAGCCTGTCTTGTATTTGAGGTCTGATGCAAAGAGCATACTAACTCCATGTTCTACCTTATTCACTCAGGGGATAGTGTGCTAAGTACCCTGTAACAACTAGCTGAGGCAACACTGGTCCAGCAGTGTCTTCAAGACAGATTTCAGTAATGCAAGTCAAGTTGGACATCTTGACAGAGTGCAGGTCATAGAACATCGTTGATCTTGCACTGAACAGTAAGAGTCTGAAATTCTGGGTTCTAACCCTGGCTGCTGCAGGCTCAAGAGACATGGTTGGCAGTTGGGCCTAAGAAATTGGCCACGGATACTCTGCCCTGTGCCCTTGTCGTGGTACTGAATTAGAGTTTCTCATGTCTGCCATACCCCTTAAATTCTTAGGTGCAAGAAGGCTAATTGTTGAGTTCTCAGAATCAGCTGTTCACAACTGCGGTGTACTCAGTGTTTACAGCAAAACATTTTTTAAACCATCTACTGTGGATTAATGTCTTCTTTGTTTTACGGTAGCTTTCAGAAAAAGAGAAGGGTTTAATAACTGGACCGTAATATGATTAAGGCAATAGAAATGTAAAGATTTCTTTGAAAATGTAGATTATTAATCTAATAAACTGCAGAGGCTCTTTCAAAATAATTAAGGTTTGTCATATCAATATGTTATTAGGAACTTCTTTAAATGAAGATTAATGATGCAATAGGCAATCATGACTGAAGTAACCATTGTATTAATGCATATTTGGAAACTGTATTCTAAAGTGAATGTTTATCAAGGCCTCCTTGGGTAGTCCTTAAGCTCCTTCCAAGTATTGACCATGGGGGCAATTTTCAAAGGCCCAAAGAGAAGTTAGGAACACAATTTCTACTGAAAGTCAATGGGAATTGAGCGCCTGATTCTTATTTGTACTTTGAAATTTCCCCATATATAAACAATATAGCTGCTCTGTACGTGTACTAAATCCACAACCAAAAAATCTTCATGCAAAGTAGACAGTTTGCTAGATTAAATAACTCAGTCATGTTTCTTCTTTTTATTTTTCCCCAAAAGCTCAAAACCTCTCCTTCACATTATTTGCTAAAGGCCTGTAAAGTTACAGTTGTAAAAAAGAAAGCTTTTGTTAAGCTATATGAACACAAAATAACCTGGCTTTCTCCTTCCCCCCACATTTGTAAAATAAAAACATCAACATCAATTTTTTTCCAGTTCTCTCTCCTCCAAGTCTGGGATTCAGAATACCAACTGTGGCCCAGAAAAGAAATAGCCCCTGTTATGATCTCATTTGTAGGCATATATCTGGAAAGTTGAACTTAGTGGGCCAGCATTTCCTCTCAATTACTCAGCGGTAATTCCTGATGTGATCTTCGAAAAAGGTTTTTATAAAAAATAAAGCTGGTTTATACGTAATACAAGGATCCTTAATACAAGGATCTTTCAGCAAAAGTAACAACCAGATTTCAGCACAGTTTAAACTGGATTTTGGCTGAATCAGGAACTAACACAAGCTTACAAAGTTTTGAACGTGGCTCCAACAAGGCGTGACCCCAGCTTCAGTGGTTTGCTGAACCATGTCAGAATCTCTTTTGGCCACAACTAAATTTAAAACTAAAGAGATTGCATAGAAAATGCCTTTGCATCCTAAAATATTAATCAATTATGAAGGAAAATATCTCCACAGAGAAAAAAAAATCTGACTGCTAGATATAGGTAATACTTTCCCATAGAATACTCTTCACACAAAAATCATTATAAAATAAACTTTAATATAAAGAAGTAACGATTTTCTTTATTATGTCACTCCCTACTACTTAACTCCATAACTTTCAATGACACTCATCTCCCACATCTAGTTTACTCATGCCTTCCTAGTTTATTCTGAACTGGAATCAAAAGACAAATTGCCAATGTGCAGACACTGCAGGGGGAGATGTGAACCACAAAATCATATTGTACTGCAAAGGCTGCAGTTGGCTTCTGAAGTTGTATTTGATTATAGAAAGAACAGGAAGTTGTCTCATATTAATTCATAAGTCAAGGGAAGTCGTTCCTTGGGTTGGGGCCCTGGCCATAAAAAGGGAATAAAAAAGAAGAAAGATTTATAAGCTGCCAGGAACTGTCAAGCCTCATGTATATATAGATTAGAGCAGAGGTGGGCAAACTACAGCCTGAGGGCCACATCCAGCCCATGGGACCATCCTGCCCGGCCTTTAAGCTCCCGGCCGGGGAGGCTAGCCCCCGGCCCCTTCCCTCCTGTCCCCGCTCCCCCACAGCCATGCTGCCACGCAGGCAGCACTCTGGACGGCGGGGATGCAAGTTCCTGCCGAGCAGTGCGGCAGCATGTCTAGCTCTGGAAACAAGGGGGGGTTGGATAGGCGGGGGGTCACGGGGGGCCTGTCAGGGGGCAGGGGTGTGAATAGAGGTTGGGAGACTGGGAGCAGGGGGGTTGGATAGAGGGTGGAGTCCCGGGGTGCGGTTAGGGGACAAGAAGCAGGGGGGTTAGATGGGTCGGGGGTTCTGAAGGTGGCAGTCAGGGGGCAGAAAGTGGGAGGGGGCTAATAAGGGGTGGGGGCCAGGCTGTTTGGGGAGGCACAGCCTTCCCTACCCAGCCCATCACACAGTTTTGCAACCCCAATTTGGCCCATGGGCCAAAAAGTTTGCCCACCGCTGGATTAGAGGCTAGAAATGCCAGGATGAAAGGAGGCTGATATAGCCAAAGTTACTGGAAATGCTGTTACAACACCAGTGTCCAAGTGCTAGCAAGCACAGAGAGAGTGGGAAACTGGAAAACAGGGGTCTCCCCCAGCTCTTTTATTTTTATTGAGGAAATAGACAATAATGTTCAGTGCACACTCTCCAGGAAGTTACTCTTAACAGATAAAACAACGAGGAGTCCTTGTGGCACCTTAGAGACTAACAAATTTATAAATTTGTTAGTCTCTAAGGTGCCACAAGGACTCCTCGTTTTTGCTGATCTAGACTAACACGGCTACCACTCTGAAAGCTCTTAACAGATAGTTTGCATGCAATAGCAGAATACATGGTACTGAAGATTGTTTCTTTATGAGGTTCATTTCAAGAACTCATCTACAGCACTTACATGTTCTGGCTGATGTATCTATTTTTATGAAGGAAGCTTCTTTATGTGTTTAGTCAATTTTTCAGCTTTACCATTTTAGATAACAAAATTACAGAGTAGTTGCTAAAGTCAGACATTCACAACAATTGAATTAGAATACTTAAATTCACATGGTAGTAATCCTCAAGAAATTAAAATATCCCTGCTCATTGACACTTCTCTCAACACTGATTTGTGGACTAGCTACCTTGAGAAGCAAATCAGCATAGAAAAAGTGACATGGGGCCAATAAGCTAGACAATTCTAGTCTTTTGATAGAGATTACATGTTCTACAATAAACTCAGAGCAGAATTTCTTACCTTTGTGGTGGTTTGCCCCAGATGCTAATTTCCCCCAGAATGTTACAACAAATATTATTATTAGCAGTTTTCCTTTTGTTGCTTTCTGTAAGTATCTCTTATTCATCCTGAAAATAAAGATAAAAATACATTAAAATAAGTGTTTAAATGAAACATTTTTTTTCTTTTTACCATTGTAAACTGAATGTGATGCTTGTAAAAGATGCTTGATTGACAACCCTGAAGTCTGAAATCCTTTTGAGCCATAGAAAAGGCTCAGCATGGACTGCATCAGTGCAATCTTCCCCTCCCTTCCCTGCCAACGTTTCCCCTTCCGGTTACAGAAGGACCATCTCAGAGAATATTTGAGCCCTGTACCAGATGGACATCATTAGAGCCCCTCCATCAGAGAAGCCTCCCAAGGGAAGGCATCAATAGAAAGCCGGCCAACTCTCCCCTTGTGTGAATTCACACTGGGGTGCAGCAGATCTTGCCGGAGCAGACTTGCCATCTGCATCACCATGAATTAGCCAAGGTTGATTTGGCCCTCTGACTCTCCTGCAATGACATTTAGTGTATGGCTTTAAGGCCACCTGTAACTCTTTGAAGCCCTGCATACAAGTCATGATGACGGATTTGATCAGAGTACCAGCAAATGCAGCACCCCCACCACATGAGAAGTCCCCAGGGTGCTTGATACACACGAGGCAGTAGCTTACGGGCTGAGCCAAACACATGGGATTGACCAATATCATTCCTTGTCTGTGCCAATGGACAAGAATAGACAGGTGATATTGTGTCAAAGAAAGTTGCAGAAAATCACAAAGTAATTGAAACATGAGATACTGATATTGCATTCTGATGTGTTCATTGTGACTTTACAGCAGTACTTGATGGCACTGAGACACGATGATGAAATGCAAGGTTGAGCATTGGTTATATCAGTGCAACTCCATGCAAAGTAGGTCGCCAGGTGCTAAAAAACATGCACAGTAGTTCTGGCTATCGGGCTAGAGAATTAAAGTTCGGCAGAGGGTGGTGAGATGTATTATGATGATACCTGCTCTTGCTTTTTGCTCTCCATGGAAGACCCCTAGAGAGCTGGCTAAGAAACATTTCTGCAGGATGTTCATATTTCTGCTGATAGGTCAAGAGGACCATGATGCCTATTACATACCTTTTACACTGAAAAAGCTGCAAACTTGACCATTTGAACAAAATTAATACTATTTGACAATGCCTGGTACTAGGCTGCCTTTTGTTTCAGAGCAGAAAAATCTGTACCGCTTCAGTACTGTTGTGCAATTTCTACAGTTCTCCCCTACTGCATTCATAAGAAGCCAATATTAAAAAAGACTACACCCTCTTTCTCTCTCGCTCCGTTCATGCACAGCAGTACCCTGACAACCACAAGTGCTATGAAAAAGCAGTCTATGCTGTCACTCAGCATTAAGCATTAGACTGTTAAGTTCCAGATCTATCTCCACTTAAGAGCAATCCCAGTTTCTTCAGTTTCTCCCTACCTCTGCACAGGTCTCTCCATACCAGGACCCTGCACATTAGTGTTGCAGATGGCAGACCCGCAAATTTAAATCTCCTTTGGAGAGACAGGTATGATCTTATTAAACATAGGTAAGATTTCAAACTGAGCCACCTGTACAAAACATGTGATTCAAATTAACAGACCAATGAGAAGATTTTAATCTAATTCAATTCATGTGTACCAAAGCCCTTTAACACCTGAATTCAGAACAAACAAAGAATTAAATGCTCTTTAACAGAAGTAATGTATTTACTATATAAGGTGTGTTCCTCTGGGATTGTGTAGGGGAGTAACACCGACCCTAGGGGAGTACAATATCCAGTGTTCTGCTGATAGCTTGTGCACTGAATGTCTAACTGATTAATAATCTTAGTAGCAATCACAGTATGCTATGAACCTCACTGCATTTCTGACATCGGCTTGCTCCTCTTTGCACGAATGTTCCTGTTCTTTCGGAAAGCTACTTGTTTATTCGCCATCGGCTACAGGTTTCTGAAGTGCCCAGAACTGAAGGGAAATTCATTCTTTGTCATTCTAAACAAAGAATTAAAAAATGTAAACAGAGATATATGTTCACACTGTTGATTTATAGCCATATATGTGAACAGCAGAGAAATTAATTCTTTCACTCCCAGTCCTCCACCGCACCTGTTGTGATGCTGGTGCCAATCAAAATTCCATTAAAATGAAGTCTCCCTCCCATGCACACCAAGCCTCACTCCAAGGGGTCTAATGCTACCCCCCCCCCTGCACCTCTGATGTTGCCAGATCTTCTCCACTTGCTCTGCAATGAGACACACTGCAGACACAGAGCTAGGACTTGAGAAAATAGCAGCAGAGAGAGGCAAAGAGGAGGGGGACAACCAGTCTGCCTGTAAACAGCAGCCCCTTATGGCAGGTAACAGGAGGAGAAGGTTAAAAAGACACATGCCTTTCCTGCTGCCACCCTTGCTTGCGGGACTGTGATGACCTAGAAATCAGCAGCTCCATTGACCTACCAATCCCCAAAAAGGGCTGTCCTGCACACAAAAAATAAGAGTTTTCAGCTTTGACATATTAACTAAATGGCAACTCCCCTGTCATGCTAACAATGACAAGACTGGAGTGAGGCTAGTGCAGGGCAAGGACAATATGGGAAAGGGCTCAGGCAAGGCTGGAGCAGAAGTAGGCTGGGAGTCTTTGGAGCCTGGTGCACAGCAAATCAGCAGGAGGGTTCTTGGCCTGGTAGCTCTGTTGCTCAGCCTGATCTGCAACTCTGCTGGGGTCATGGACATACCTGAAGCAGGAGCTGGAAGCAGGATCTGCTGACTGGGGAAACAACCGGAGAGCCTTGGCTGACCAAGCCCTCTCAGAAAGGAGAAGAACACATTATTTTCTGTTTTTCTTTTCTCCCTTTCCTTCCAAAGGCCTTGTAGACTTCTGTGGGATGTGGAAGTATACTTACTTTTTGTTTGGACTACTTTTACACCCACCCATCCCCATAAGGCACCCCCCACAGATATCTAGCTGTGCTTTGGATTCTGAGACAAGAGCGGCACCCACCCTCTTTCCACAAGGGTGTCAGAGAGATATAACCTACTACAAGAATACTGGCTCTCTATTTCTTGAGAACAGCCAGCATGCTACTGGCAGTGTTCATGTGCTTACAGAAATAACATATACCCACCTAGACACTGCTAAGGGCAACAGACCAGAGCAGCAAACACAGGTTTGAGCTGGTGGGTTCTTCTCAGCAGCCTAACAGGCTATTGTGAAAGGGATGGTTCTGAGAAAAAGTGATCATCTATTCAGACAATCTTGAGAGGTTAAAGTTAATGACTTAGACATCTTGAACCCAATCCTAGGTATGTCTGTGTGTAGTTTTTTTTATCATCATCTGGCTGTATTAGTCTGTGATGGTTACTTTTGGTTAATAAATTGTATTTGCATTTGTTTTCCAAAACAGCCTAAAGTTCAACATGAAGTGGCCAGTGGAGCCAGAAAATATTGACCGCAGCCTTGAAACAGGGCTGTTAACCTTTTTGTAACCCTGACCAAGTCAGGTGACTGGGTCCCAGAAGTAAAAATCAGTCCATTACCAATACTTCTATGTGTCACACTGTCAATGAGGTCTGAAAAAGTTATTTGCAAACTTTATGCAGGAAGATACAGAATTACATAAACAAACTGCAGCTATTAACCTGAACAGTTTTTCCTCTTAGGCACTCTTCTCCTTTATTCTTTTTCTGAGACCCCTTTCAGAAACCATGGTACCATCTATTGCCAGACTCCAGTGATGTTGTGTTATATCAGCTAGAAATTCAAAAACCAGAACATCAAGTTTACAGGAAAACTTGAAATTTCAAGATCAATTTCATTCTGAAATGGAATGAAATTTCAAAAATTCCGTGTGAAACAAAGTATTGATTGTTTCTAATTGAAAACTGCTGACAGGAACATTTTCGACATTTTTTATTAGAAACAATGCAGTCTCAACATGTAAACCCAGAAAATGAATAGTAAGACTGGCCCTTTTGAATTTATTTTTCAGTGCATCAGTAGGCAGGGGAAGGGAGCATGGACTGTCCCTAGACTCCAGGCACACACCCAACTGAAACAAAAAAGAAACATCAACAACATAACCCTCTTCAACAGTGGGAGAGTGGGAGATGATTGCACTGTGACCAGTTCTTCACTAACACCATTATCTAATGAATACTGGTATTAATTTGCTGCACTTGGTTTAGAATAAATATTTCCACTAATATGTAGACCAGTAGCACACTAACACACTATACTACAGCCCAATCCTAGAACACTATAAGTAGTTGTGCTAGAAGTATCTTAGCAGTTGCATGTCTTTTTCTCAGGATGCAAATCCAGCTGAGACTGCAAAGGGAAACTCTAGAACACTGTGTTGTCTCTAGAAATCTCTAAGGTTGGTCTCCATAATTCATCAAAGAAGTTGTCATGAGAACTTACAAACTTGTGTAAAAATAGAGTCAGTGGCCCTCTCCACTGCTTCATATCCTGATGGGGCCCACCAGAAGATGGATGTGGCAAACCTGTGTGGGTACCCTGGAAATGCTCCTAATACCTGGTTTCAGAGGACCTGTTGTTGTTCCAAAAGAAGGAGTACTGTGCACCTAGAGCAACCAATTTATTTGAGCGGCTGGAGCCACAGCTCACTTCATCAGATGTTTACCGTGGAAACTAGCAGCTTTATATACACACAGAAATCATAAACAATACCTCCTCCCACCCCACTGTCCTGCTGGTAATAGCTTATCTAAAGTGATCAACAGGTGCCATTTCCACACAAATCCAGGTTTTCTCACCCTCCACCCCCCACACAAATTCATCTCCTGTGTCTAGCCCATCCAAAGTACAACTCTTTACATAATCAAGTCGGCTATTTCCTGATAGATCAAGGTTTTCTCACCCCCCCACCCCCATCACACACAAACTCACTCTCCTGTGGTAATAGTCTCTAAATGCCTCTAGGTTTAAATCCAAGTTAAAAGAACATCTGGGGGGGGGTAGGAAAAACAAGAGGAAACAGGCTACCTTGCATAATGACTTAGCCACTCCCAGTCTCTATTTACC